CTTCTGTGCTTCTAAAACGGAACCGGTGGCAGACGACAGACGCTGCAGTGGAATGTCCCCTGGAGCACCGTTCACATCCAGTTATCAACTACTTTGATTAAGTCATGACTCGACATCTGCCTTTCTCTTCTATTCTGATCTTCTAGTGCACACAGAAAAGCGGTTCCAAAACAGATCTGATGCAGGTGTAAAGCAGGACAGAAGTAGGTCTAAAGAAAGAGGAAAGCAGGACAAAAGCAAATCTAAAGCAGGTTTGAAGAAGACTAAAGTAGGACTAAAGCAGGACTGAACCAGGACTGAACCAGGACTAAAAGCATGACTGAGTCAGGACTAAATGAGGTCTAAAGCAGGTCTAAAGCAGGACTAAAGCAGGTCAAAACTCGGACGGGACCTGAACAATCTGGAACACAAGCTCTCAGCACTGCCCTCTACTTGTAGCTGACTTTCTCTTATATTCTGATATATTGAAAGTGCTAAATGAAACAATATCAGGAACACAAATCGACAAAGAGCCCCCCCCCGCCCCTTCAGTCTAAAAAAGCTTTGTTTTCAAACGTCTTCGAGCGTTAGAGGATTCGACACGGCGAAAGCTCGGACTATGATGTCATGGACAGATGTATTGGAGCATCACAAGGCAGACATAGACCTGCAGTAAGAGTGGCCATGTAAAGAGTGGATGTATTTGCACAGTTCGAGGCAGGCACTGCGCCCCCTACTGGTCCTTTTCAATTCAGTCTGTAACGGTGTTGTCTGACGCAGAGTGGACTGAGCCCTGTGCTTTGTTTACACATTAAACAGAGCAGAGAAAAGCCCTTTGTGTCGGTGCAGAGCCACTGTTGCCAAAAAGCACAAAGACACATTCCACACAGTCCAGACCTGGACTCAGCACACCAACTCAACTAGAGCAGGCCAAGATCCCAACACTAAACCAGGATAGTCTCTCAGGACTGAAGCAGGACAAAATAAGGTCTAAAGTAGGAGAGAATCAAACCAAAACCAGGTTGAACCGGGATCAGTTGAGGTTGACAGCAAGCAGGCCAAAAGCAGGACGGAACAAAGACCAGTTCTCGGCCAGCACTAAAACAAGACTACTCTAAAGTGGGTTTATGCAGGCCTATCCTAGGACGGAATAAGGTTTAAAGCAGATCTAAAGCAGAACTCAAACATGACTTGTGCAGGGTTAAAGAAGGTCTAAAGCAAGACTGAAGCAGGATTTAACCCAGTTTAAAGCAGGACTGAACCAGTTTCCTCACTAGTTTACACTGAGCCAGGACTATGGTCAGACTCGGACCATCTGGAACAGCAGCTCTCAGCTTTGTTCTTTACTTGTATCCGTGATCTTGTCTTTTTGATATTCACACAAACATATTGTTTTAATCCTGCTCCCACCAATCTTGTACCGTGCATTCAAAAGATGACAAATATGATGTAAGTATTTGACCAAAGATTCTCTGGTGCTCGATGTTTCTTTCGTTCTCATACCAGCACAGATGTGAGAATGGACTGATTGGAGTTAGCTTTGACAAAGAAGCGACAAATTCTACACAAGACAAAAGAGGTGCGGACAGCAGCACACACAGGTCAAAGAAAGTAACATCCTTTTAGACTATTCCCATAGTTCCCATTTTTACCAGTAGCATGTTCTCCTTGTGCCAAACTAAAGCAGGACGAAAGCAGGTCTAAAGTAGGTATTAAGCAGCACTGAACCAGGACTGAACAAGGACTGAACCAGGATTGTACATCTTCATCCACATTTTAGCGTGGATGAATCTAAAAATTACTCCAGTTTCATTTGGATGAGAGAACAATGGAGTGCAATGCATAGTCCTTCAGCACATAGACACACCAGCCTCGGTGTCGGTGTGGTGAGGCTGGAGGCGTGAGTGCATGTGTTTGTGTTTATAGCGTGTCACGATTGGTCTTTGAAGAGCGAGGCCCCGGACCCACCGCCACCGCTGCACTTTGGACTTTGTAACAAACCACAGATGTCTGCGTCCAAACACAACCAGGACTTCTACGGACTGGACAACACATGTCTCAGATGTACTTTAGGAGAGACTTGTACACAAGCAAGTCTCTCCTAAAGTCCATTCTCTGAGCCACAGGAAGCAAGTGCAGAGACCTGAGAACTGGACTAATGTGATAGTACTTCCTTGTTCTAGTACTGCAGTTGTTTTAGAGCTCGTTTGGAGAGATCAGTGAGCAGGCCGTTACAGTAGTCTAACCTCCTGTAGACAAATGCAGGCTAAAGAATCTCCAAGTCTTGTTTAGTCAGTATACTTTTTTGAAGACCGAAATATTTAAGGAAGATAGACTGGTGATGACAGATACTGCTCTTTCTTGTTCCCGGAGACGAATGCTCAAACAAAACTGAAATGATTGATAGAACCAGCCTAAGTTATGACTTATCTACACCTTGAGTCCTGGATCTTCAACTTCTCCATCTGTCTGAGCCAATCCCTCTCTCAATATTTTTCTCATGTTTTTTATCTCCACTTGGTTTTTGAATCATTTCTTGCCGATGCAGGAGGGTCTATGGACAGTGATGATCTGGGACATTTATGGACAGTGGTCATCCCGCTCCCAATGGACCAATGGTTCCTATGTGTCCAATGTTAGTATTGCATTTCCTGTGTTTGATGTAAGTAAGTAAGTAATCGTTATTTATTTATATAGCGCCTTTCACAGGCCAGAGCCACAAAGCGCTAAACAACAGTAGTGGACAATTGTCATGCCAGACCTATTGTACATATTTTTAGTGGTAGGGGAAACCGGAGCTCCCGGAGGAATCCTATGCAGACACCCGGAGAACATTCTACCTCCACTCAGAAACCCCGTTTGAACCGGGATTTGAACCTAGGACCTTCTTGCTGAGAAGCGAGAGTGCAATCCAGTCATCTGAACATGGCTGAACGGTTAGATTCTCTGATCTGTTGTTGAGAAATCAAAACAGATGGGGTGATTTAGGGCTGTACAAAAACAAACTGAATTGAATATTTGACAAAGGGAACCAATTTCAATGTCACACAATCTTGTTGGTCAGCGCTCTATCTACAGAGTGAGCAGAAAATACATTTCAAGACGACAGCAGAATCCAGGGCTGCATGTATATTCCCCCCACAGATGTCTCCTACCGCCTACCTCCTCAGCGTGGCTTATTTCCTCTCTCTTCACCTTTGACCCCATATACCTTTTCTTCCACCGAGAATGTAACGCCCACAGGCCCTTCTGCTGCTACTGCTACTACTGCCACTGGTACTTCTACTACTAATTCTACTACTGCGGCTACTGCTACTACTACAACTACAACTACAGCTACTGAAATTGCTACTACCACTACTACTGCTGCTACTGCTGCTGCTGCTACCTGTGAGTAGCACTAGCTTCAAATCCACCCTCAAAACTCATCAGCTTAGAGAAGTCTACTCACAAACATCATGACCACACAATCCTCTGTTCATGCTGCTTTTAACTGTATTTTAACTAAATGTACTGTTTACTTGTGATGTAAGACGACATTGAGTGTCTAGAAAGGCGCCTAAGAGAATTATTATTATGACGACTACTACTACTTATGCTACAGCTACATCTTCTGCCAATCACAACCACCACTACTTCTACTGCCAAAACACCACTACTTCTACTGCAATACCACAATTACTTCTACAACAGCAACCTTCCTGTCCCTGAGGTCTCATTCACAGATTCCCGTCTCAAAACACTCCCTGATCAAAGATGGGTGTTTGGAGATGTTCTGACCTTCTTCAAAGACTCTCTGATGTGGATATATTTTAAAAGACAGATTTTTAGGTCTAATTACTGGTGCATCGAAGCGAAAAGACATCCAGGAAAAGAGTGGACTTCAAAAACACAGGAGATTCATAGCTTCATTCATTCCTATTGACTCACTCTCTCTCATTAAAATGGAACAAGTTAGAACAGAAAGACATGATTCCCGACAAAACGGCTGCACAGACGAACAACAGGGTACTATTATGAAAGCAATAATTTTGCGGGTGTTTTGTGGTATAAAATCAATGATTAGACCATGTAATTGCTAACATAATTAGACCCCATTTAATATAAACAATGACAATGTGATCCGCGTGGATTTCAGAGCTCAGAAAAGGCCCGTTTCACCTACCACCTATCTCCCCACCACTCTGACTCAACTCCCCATAGTTGCCTTTAATCGATTACATTTTTGTGTTTGTAGCATGTAGTCAAAAAAAATTGCCTTAAAAGATACAGAATATAACCCCCGCAATAAACAAGGGACCACTGTACTGTATGCCACCTTTGAAGCTGGGATATCTGACTAAAAATAATAATAGTTATTTATTATATATTTTGTAAAGAGCTAAGGCAAGTTTATTTGGATAGCACAATTCATACACAAGGCAACTCATAGTGCTGAACAAGACAAGATAGAATTAAAATCATAAATAATCAGAGTACGTTAAAAAGAAAGATACAATTTCTCAGTTGTATGCACAGCTAAACAGAACTGTTTTTAACCTGGATTTAAACATTGTCAGAGAGGAGGCCTGTCTCACATTTTGAGGCAGATTGTTCCAGATTTTAGCAGCATGAATTTGAAATGCAGCCTCCTCATGTTTAGTCCTGATTCAGGGCACTAGCAGGAGTCGAGGTAGGGTAAAATAGGTACAGTAGTTTTAGCCAATGGTAGGGTAATCTATATATTACTGTACTTACTGCAGAACACTATACTGCATTCTGTATTCATCTTATTCTAGTATTTGTATTACTGTGTGTTGAGTGTTTGGATAAAACCATAAACTGTATATAGATGGACAATGCAAACAGGCTAGCTCATGGAAGCCCAATAGGGAAGTGCTCATGGACAAAGTTTTGCACACTTTGTTCCACCATATTCTTTCCTGTGATGCCTGGATGTTGCGTAAAGTGGCAGAGCCCAGATCGATGTCTCTTTTGTAACATTGTTTTAAATGCATATGATTTCAAATGGAGAACCTTACCTGTCGGCCTCGGCTTGTCCAGTCGATGCTGTGCGCTGCAGGCTCTCTCTCACGGAGGACATGTTGGATAGGTCATGGAGACGGTGGAGACGTCGTGTGTACAGGCCAACTCCTCCGTCCGTCAAGTAACTGCCGAAAAACACACACAACTTTTAAAAGGAAGCACAAGCTGACTGACCCTGTTCTTTTCCTGAAAGGTTAACATCTGTTCCACCTCAGCTGCATTAATCACAGAAGTTCATCTTTAAAGGTCCCATATTACTCTTTTACTGCTTTAAACATCATTCCAGCGCTATTTGGCCTTCATACACATGCCCAAAGACGTTTTTTTATTGATTCCCCCAAGCTATAGTTCTCTTTCATTCTCAAGAGGCGGCGAAATGCCTCAGTTCAATTTGTGACGTGGGACCGAGCTGCAGAAGCCCGCCTCCAGGAGGATATCTAAAGAGGAATCCAGCATCTGCCACAGTCTGTGTTTGCTTCACATCAAAATCTGCTGCTAAAAGTGTTGGCATCATGCCAACGTGCAAATTATTATCACACATGTGCTAAGGATGGACGTGATGAAAGAATCTGTTATGGGGCGGCACTGTAGCACAGTGGTTAGCACACTCTGATTCAGATTCATTTTATTTGCCATTTGCACACATTTGCAATAGTGTGCACAAGAAAAGTACATAAATAAACAAGGTTAAAAGTACAGGAGTAAAACAAAGAAAAAACGATAATTAAAGTGTTGTGTTTAAACTGATAACAGCTTATGGAAATAAGTTTTTACCAAAATGAGATGTCCTGCATCTCAATGAACGATATCGTCTGCCAGAAGGAAGAAGCTGGAACATGGCTTCTCCAGAGGCCAGAGGAGTCATTGATTATTATACGAGCTCAGTATAGGAGTCTGGATTCATATAGAACCTCCAGAACAGGCAGCTAGCAGCTCACAGTCCTCTTTGCAGAGTGGAAAACCTTGTTTAGAGCTCTCTTTTCTTTGACTGTGATGTTGCCAAACCACACAGTCACAGAACAGACAAGCAAACTATTGTGTACATTAAAGAGATTCTGTTATGATTCCGATTTAAGCTTATTTAAAAAGGAAGTGAGCCTCATTCATCACACGAGCATAATGTATCTAAAAATATCAGGTCTGGATGTTGGAACTATGCGCTCCACTCAAACTTCACAAACATACCAGGGCCATTACACAATCCAGGCAGAAACGGGGTCAAATGCAGCATAGGGGTTTCAAAAAGGGTTTTCACACTGATCAAATCAATTCAATTTATTTTTAATCGCCAAAAATCACAACAGCAGTCGTCTCGGAGGACTTTAGAAAGTGGTCAATTTATCAACACAGAAATTAACCAGAAACCCTTTCTATTCACAACATTATATATGAACATTGCAAGTAACTACTTAGCTATGAAATGATTCCTGGTTGGAGGTACTGCAATGCTTGCACTGCAAAATACAGCTGCAGAGAACACCACGCTGAGGAGCAAGAGCAGGACTGAGGGCTACGGTAAGAGAGACCAGAGAGAGACTGGAGAGGTACCAGAGAGAGAACATAGAGAAAGACCAGAGAGAATGACCAGAGAGACTCAGAGAGATACCAGAGAGAGGCCAGAGAAATAGACCAGAGAGAGATCAGTGAGAGACCAAAGAGAGAGATGCCAGAAAGAGAGACCAGAGAGAGAGACCAGAGAGAGACCCGAGAGAGACCAGAGAGAAACCAGAGAGAGACCAGAGAGAAACCAGAGAGAGACCGGAGAGAGACCAGAGAGAGGGACCAAGACAGTCCTCTGAATTTGCTTGAAATCGCTTGCAACTCTGCAAAATCTGGCAACCTCTGCTGAGTGTTTACCAGAACTGTTGTTATTGGATTAAGAGACATTTCACGAAGTTCCCTCCAGGGCAGACGATGAGGTCCTCCACAGTACAAGTCATGATACACCAATGAACTCTGTCATTTTGAAGATTACCTAATGTGATAATTAAATTTAAGCGGTTTTAATAGTTTTCTTCTTTCTTTTTTTTCACAGAAGTTTTCACTTCCAATATTGTTAATGCTTTTATCTTTGACAGTATCAATAAAGTATCTATATACAGTATCTATAAAGAACAAAAGCTGCTATGTTGGAAAAATGTTTGTGTACTGTTTATTGATAGCAGCTAATCATAAGTGTTAATATATCGACTTTTTATGTTTGCAAGCAATACTGAGATTTAGTACGTAAATTGTAAGGGTTGACTGTGTTGTAAACCACTTTGGGTGACCTTGGTCTGTAAAAATGTGCTATATAAATAAAGATGACTTAATTACTTAATTAATTCCATATATAAAAGTGACCTACATCTGTCATACAGCAGACAAAAGACCAATGACACTATGCTTTAGATTCAGGGCTTGTGACAGTCACCCGGAACAATGAGCCTCTCACTCAAGACATGTGTGTGCCTCCCTCTGCTGGTCACTGGGGGACACTGAACCTCCTCCCCACTGGTGTGTGTGTGTCTATGTGCGTGCACACGTCTGTGTGTGTGTGTGTGTGTGTTTGAGTGTTCATGAGTGCGTGTGTTTGTGTGTGCATTTGTGTGTGTGCCTGCACGCGCCTGTTTGTGTGTGTTTGTGTGTGCATTTGTGAGTGGGAGTGTCTGTGTTTGTGTTTGCATGCGCACGCCTGTGTGTGAGTATGCTTGGGCATGCATATGTGTGTGTTTGGGTGTACTTTTTTGGGATTTGGTTCCAAATCTGTTTCAATCTGACCATAACTGGTCAAATTGGCATTATAAAGACACAAATACACTATTACACAAAATCGCATGTTAAGACCCTGTGTACACAATACTACTTTGAGAATTCTTGTGGTCATCATAACAACTATAACGTCTCAAACACATAACTTACCCGCTGGTGACATCATCATTGCGTGCCAGGGTCTTGCTCAGAACATCTCCATCGCTCATGTACCCGGTCATCTCCATGGCAACACCCCCCAGCTCTTCCTCGTCTCCAATTGGCTCAGAACCCTCTCCGGCCCCGCCCCTTCCTGTCAGCTGACGTCGGAGGTGCGCAGAGTACTGATACCGCCCAGGCCCTGCACCTCGGCAGCCATTTGCCAAAGAGGGCGCGTCACCTGCCTGGAGGCGGGGCACAGCAGAGCCCAGTCTCCATGACGACGACAGGTGTGGGCGGGACAACAGGCTACGACCCCCGGCAGAGTCAGAGGCTTCAAAGGAGGAGGACTCCAGGGAGCTTCAGGAGACAAGAGAAAAGTCCATTATTTTCTTCTTTATAGGAACACGTCATTAATTTCAGTTTCTAAGCTGCTGAAAACGGATCAATCATCAACACGAGAAAAAACATATAGCATTCAGAGTAAACTTTCCATATGTTAGTATGTTTTTACAAGTCAAGCCCAAGTATAATCTCATATAATTCACTTGAAATTATAAGTGTATAAAGGTGGGGTTGTTTGTACCTGTGAGTGAGCTGTGTCCCTCTGAGGCTGGACATGGTCTCCTCCAGGTTCTGTCTCAGGTCAGCAATGTTTTTGACTGTCCGCAAACGCCTGGTCTCTGGGTCCTCTCCTGCACCACATACAAACAACATAAGAATATCTTTATCCTTCTTCCTTTTATTTTGTTGTCTCCCTTAGGAAATTTGTCCTCGTTTTGACTAGTGATGCACCAAAAATCCACCAAAATTGAAGGCGATACAATAACTGATGTTAATAAAGCTGTTATGGCTAATACTGATATTTACCAATGTGGATCTGTAGAACAATCATTGGCCTATTCACATCGGTCCTATTTTGACACCTAACCAGTATGGAAGTGTAAAAAAATATTATATTGGCAGCCGATAGATCATGCACTACTTTTGACCCATCCTGAATTCCATTAGGGCCTTTGGCAGGAGCAGCGGTCCCCATAGCACAGTGCCGAGGGCCCCTCTCCAAATGTTACATTTTGGAAGTGATGTGTCCCACTGTAGGCCACGCCCTGTCTTCAGAGAGAGCAACTTATTAACTGACTGTTTCACTCAATTGAACTCCTCTGAGATGACTGCTATTGAGATTTAGGGCGATACACAAATAAATGTGATTGAACTGCTGCTTTTCTAGTTTTTTTGTATTTGAGCCAACATTTTGCACTGCACTGCCTCATCAATGAAATGTTCTCGCTCACAAAAGCATATAACATTCTCTCCTGGTTACAAATACATCTAGAACAATAACGATATTTCAAGTCCTCCTTGCAGTGTGGAGGTGAGATTGGGGATTGTCACTTTACTGTAGTGTAAGCCACCTACCTGTCGGATCCTCCGCAGGTTTGGGGTCGACTCCGTCACTGTTCACCTCGGCTTCCTGAGATCTGAAAGCACAAACACACACAAACTGAAGCTAGCAGAAGGTGAATGATTAAAGCAATGTTTACGGATGACGCAAACTGACCAATCGCCTTGAGTTTTGAGAGAGGAAACATGCCCATTCTGTGACAAATGTGAAGTTGCCAAAAGCTGGCTTTTAGTTTTGAAGAGCAATTACTCAGCCTATGTACATATGTGTTCTTCATGACTTGCTCTGTTTCTAAATGTACTTCAGTCCTATGTCATTATTTTCATAAACATATCTTCTTTTTTTATGTCAGAGGTTCTACCTAGTCATTTGAATATACACCTCAAATTTTGCAATTTTTGGTCGCTTAGAAATCAACATTTTAAAGTAAGTAAAGCCTCTTGAGCAGAGTTTTCTACCAGAGCTAGTTACAATAAAAATTGCTGTATTTCAAGTTAAATTAACCAGTTTCAGCAAAGTGAGGAAAGATAAAAACTGAAATTGCTTACTGTTCTATAAAACTTATGTCAATTTTGGAGATTCCATTGTTTTGAATAGGAGCCGTCAAAATAACTCTGGTAGATCTAGTTTTTTTTAATTCTGGGAGTCCTAGTGTTAAAAAAGTAAAAAGTAATTAACTACATAAACTAACCAATTCATGACATGTGTGAAGCAATCTAAGGCCAAATGATTTATTTTTCCTCAAAGTTACAATAATGAGTGGGCTTGAAGAGTAATGTCATGGCCTTGAACAGTGACCTTAGATGTATTTGAAGGCGACATGACCCACCTGTACATGAAGGGGGCGACGGTGGCCATGTTGGGATGACTGTGCAGCTGCTGGTTCTGTGGCAGCTGCACACTCACAGTATTGGACGCAGTGCTTTGTGTAGTACCAGCTCCGGCGGCACAGAGGGCGCCGTTTCCTGCTCCCTGACCCTCCATGCCGCCGTCTCGCTCCTGGGCACATTTGAACGGGGCATTTGCTCCCAAACGCGTGCTTTTTGGACGCTCCGCCGCTTCTTTTGACCCTTTCCCAGTCAGGCTCTTGGCTCCTGGCTTCGGAATGCCGCTCTGCACTTCCTTTTTCGCCACTTTCCCGCCTTTTGGAATAAAACTCGCGATTTTGGAAGTGCGCTTGTTGCTGTCTGCGTCCAGCATCTCATCTTTGGCCTCGTCTACTTTCACATCAGGAGTGGGAACTCTTTTTGTTGATTCTTTCACTTTAGTTTTCTCTTTTTCTGGAACTTTGACAGAATTTTTTTTAGCCGTTAGAGCGCGGCTGAACGTCCTTTGTGCAATTCCTTTTAGCGCCATTTTGGGACTGCTTGCCGATGCGGGATTGGCTCCGCTCGCAGCCGGTCGCACATTCCCATTGTCAACCTCTAATTGTTCGGTATTTGTAGAGTGTTCCGCAGGTTTCACAGATGTCTCTTGATTGTTTTTTGACAAACTTTTGCTGTTGAATAATTTTAGTTTTTCCAGCATGGACTTCTGGGATGCGAGTTTCGGAGGGGCATCAGCTGTGAGGTTTTTTGCACCAGAGTCTGACAGAGTTTTGGAGGTGACATTCTTGTTAGAAGACTTGCTCCTCCAGGGCTTGCTGCTGCTGGCGTTGGGCTGTGGGATCGCAGTGTTGTTGTTGGACGAGGAAGGAGGCGGGGAAAGAGCAGAGGAGGAGGTAGTTGATTGGGCGCTGGTCGTGACAGACGAGTTCTCCGTCATGGTTTCTGAAGAATCTGGAAGAAAAACAGCAACAGTCATTGTTACGACCCAAAGGACAAAACATATTTGAGGACACAGAGACAGGTTGAGAGTTCAAAAATGTATTTTATTTATTTTTCTCTTTAGAGTGAACTCTAGATTTTAGTATATTTTCAATAGGTAGATTAGTCAAAAAAAACAATGTCCAGAACACAAAAACCCAAAGTAATCAAATTAAAGGTGGGCCAGCCAAAACAAACAAAATGGGCTGACACCGGACCAACCCTATATAGGGCCGTCCGGATCCGATGCTGACAGCCTAACTAAAGAATAAAGCAAATCCAAATGGCTACACCCTCACCAACAAAAATGTAACAACCGGACCCACCAGATAAAACAAAAATATGTAATAAAGGCTGTAGTAAAGGCTAAAGAATGGCTAAAAAGAACCAAACCATGCGGCGTCTGAGGAGGCCGCAAACAGGACCAAGAATGAGCGCGCAGTGCGTGCACGCTCACCTCAGCAGGTGTTGCAAAAGAGGCTGAGAGCAGAGAGGGGCGGGAGTGCACCAGGACAGCGCTTTTATACTCCCAGCCTGAGCTGCAAAATACACATAATAAGTTACTCAAAACATGATCAAAAATGTAACCTATAAAATATATTTATAAAAGACAATCTTAAAAAAAATATAAAACCCAAAAATACCTGGACAAAAAAAAGATAAGACAAAAAAACCAAAGGGGAAAAAGGTGCCCAAACATATAGTCATACATTGTCATTTTGTGTATAATAGAAATAATAATAATAATAATGAATTGTTTTTTGGACACTCAAAGATGCTTCACTGGGCATAATTAAATCACTCCAAAAACTACTACTGTAGCCACAGCTGCCCTGGAGCACACTAATACAAGCAAGGCAACCAGTCAGTGCCATCAGTCCCTACACCACCAACAACCATTCACTCACACACACACCAGAATAAATCTAAGAAATCTGGGTGAAGTTTCTTGCCTCAGCACCACAACAGTTTGGCACTTTACAGCCGCCCCACTGTAGCACCTGGTGTTCCCAGAGGTCTCCCATCACAGTACTAACCAGGCCCTGCCCCGCTTCGCTTCAGACGTCTGACAGGGTCTGGAGTTCTACAAATACAAAAAGACTTAGAAGTCTTTTTGTATTTGCAGAACTCAAAAAATCATATAAACAGTTGATGGAAAGTGCCACTGACAGACAAGACTAAAGCTGCACAGACAGGATAAGCAGACAGACCCATACAAGGACATTGTTTTAAAATGTTTAAAGTTTTTAACAATAAGACGCCAGTGTTTACTCTGTCCACTGTAACGAACCCGGGACCACCGCAGAGAGAAGCAGCACAAGAAGTGACGAAGGAGAGAGATGCCCACAGAAGAACAACGCAGAAGAGCTGGATCGTTCAAGCTAAAGTCTTCAAAACAGTGAAATATTCTAGAACATATCATCAAATGCATTTGTAAGTCAATTTTTGACTTACAGAGAAACATTCTAGTTAATCGTGTATCTTGGTTGGCTGGTAAAACTACTACTAGCCAACCAAGCTAGTAGTAGTTTTAATATTGTTGGTTGGCGAGTAAAATTACTCGCCAACCAACAATACTTTTGACCAATACCCTGTTATCAATTTACAACATTCTTACCAAAACAGACCTGGAGTATTTTGTCTCCATCCCTGCTAATATCAGGAACATTCTCCATTAAAAAACCTATCCCCTGCAGAACGCTTTGTGTCGAATCTGTCCGATCGGTTACAGTCAATGATTATAGTGAGAGCTGTGGAGATCTTTTCTGCATTTTTTAACACAACCACCATCTCCAGATCTTTATCTCTGCGTGCTTATAGTAATATGTTGGCTGCAATTCCCACTTATGCTAATTTACTTATACACTTACACTCATGCCCTAGTTGGCTCATCACACTGCTGATTTGTAGAACACGTTATAAAACATGAAATGGTGAGGTCGAGTAAAGCAAATTAGTGACAGAAAAGGAACTCAGAGCCAGAGCCAACAAGAGAAGGCGCAAAGACATCCTCAAACGTTTCTAAGCAACACATAGTGCACTATGGCCCATACATGATCTCAAGGATATGTACTCTGACCTTTCATGTTTTAGAATAGAAGCATGTTGAAGTAGAACACAGGGAGGAAAAGAAGCACTATTGTTGTTTTTAATTGTCAAACCATAATGACTTTGAAAGCATGTTTGTGCCAGAGATTCCTGATATTACATTAGCTTGGATGGAACTAAGACTTTAGGTCTGTTTTTATTGGTGAGGAACAATGTTGTAACTTAGTTAAACGTTGAAAAAAATATAATTGGTGGAATGTGTCTTGTCTGAGTAAGTGTGTTTGTCTTCTTTTGTGTTGCTTTATACCAGGGGTGTCCACACTTCAGGACACCTTAGTTCACCAGACTTGTCCAGGGCAGAGAACCCAGATCAGATTTGACAGTATTTGGGCTAATGGGAAGGCACTTTGCCTTCGGCCTTCTAGAGTAACTGTGCCGTTTGGCAGACAAGACGCCAGTTGTTGATATTATCACAGTTTGCTTGACTATTTCCAAATGAAAAACGGTCACAGGTCAAGTGGTCCTCTGTAATGTCTCACCAGGTCTGACTCTGGAAGGAGTTGAAGATTGACATCCTGAGCTAATCAACAACTTCTTCACAGCCAACAATACACATCATACTAATAGTGTGTTCCACTTTATTTCTGGAGTACAAACCAGAAAAGTTTGAAAAATCCACATCACTGGTTCACAGAAAAGTGAAAATGAGAGGACCAGCATCACTCTCTGCACAAAGAGTCAAATAGTGACTCACAGGGCTTTTCCTTACAAGTAGGCAAAAGATATGACAGCATGTGGTAAAATTTTGTTTCAAAAAATTTTTTTCACTTATGTCAGGTGATTTTTAGAATGTGACCCCTGTGATAAACCAGGGACTACTGTATTACTATTTTAGTTAGGTACCTAAGCTTTACAACTTTACACTGCACAAATTCAGAGGATCAGCGGGTTCACAGGGCGTCAGAATGATTCCGGCTCGCCCCTCTCTCACCCCCTTCCCAAACGCTGGCACGGCTAATTGGCACTAATCACCACCTCATGGCTCTATTGTTCGACGAGGAGAGAACCAGAGCAGAAGAAAAAGTTATTTTGTCTTCACCACATGAAAGCAGCCGAATAGATGGAAAGACATCAATTTTCTCCTGCTTTATACGTTTCAGTAATCTAAACAGAGACTTCCCTATCCACACACACACTTGCTCTTGAGCTCAGTCCCAGTGTACGTCCATCTTCACAACCATTTGTTGGGAATGGACTTTGTTAATATTTATATTAATTCAAGGCAGCCAAATTGCAGTTTAAAATGTCTGTTTTTATTACACAGTATAGAGATCATGAATTATATCTAACTGTTCTGGTAATTATTGTTAGTGGTTGTTTGAAACCATTTTTGTCAAATCAAAATTATCTATATTTTCAAATTATAATAAAATCATAAAATATGGTACTACAGCTGTAATCTACCAAATCAGGGCTATAGACCTGCTTTGAGTCCTGTTTCAGTAATGCATTCTCTTTAAATGATCCCTGGTACTGTAAATGATCTTGTTCCCTTTCCATCTCCAAATCTAATTGTTATAATTAGTTTGAGGAAATGTTTAAACGTTTACAGGTCTAAAAACAGCACGTGAACTCTGAGCTGCCCTCGTGCCTCTGAGAAAAACAGAGCAGATCCCAAAGCATGAAGGAAACAGACTGAAGCGTTTATGGACAAATGGACTGGCACAGATCCAGATAAGAGACAGGACCCGTGCACGTGTGCTGAAAACCCGGACTACAATATGGATATAGGTCATAAGAGCTCGACTCGCAAACACACACAAAAATCCATGATAGTGGACAATATTCATATATATTTTAACATTTGAAATATCTATATTGATCTAAAGCAACTTATAAGAAATCAAAGATGACATACTAGTTCCATTGGATAATTTGATTTGAAGACTATATCAAAACAATAGTACTACACATTAGGGCTGCACGATATATCAGAAAAACATTGTTATTGTGATATTGGTGCGTGCGATATCCATATCAAAAATATACGGGATAAAAAAATATATATATATATTTTTTTTCCATTATTAAAGACAACAAAACAGACAGACACATCATCATTCAACAAATACAACAAACAAACAAACAAAAAAGAATATGCATTTGAATGTCATTAATGTTTTTGTTATTCGTCTGCGTTTCAATTCAGATTGCAATTTTAGGTGAAAGAAAAAATTATCGCTATAATATCGTTATCGCAATACTAAACACTCATATTGCTACCCTACTACATATTATCATGGTATAGAGAAAACTTTGCATGTCACTTTACATGTCACCACAACAAAGGCGGACATAGCAGCAGATATAGAGCAGTGTCAGGCTGTTTCATCAGAAGAAAATCACTGATGCCCATAAAGACCAGTGGACACATGCAAACAGGAGTAATTGTGTTTTGTATGCAGGAGGATAAAGGATCAAACAAGGATATGTAACTTCAGTTTGCAATGAGAGGAGCTCTTTGAGAACCTCTTTGAGTGATCGTCGACTTCTCTTTCCTCTTCTGAAGAAAGTTGACATATATCCTTACATGCACAAAGCAAAAATGATCCATAATTGACATATTTGAAAGACTAAAGTTTGCAGTGCAGGACAAAAAAAATATGCCGGGCACATGAATTTCCTGCAGAAGAGGATTTTGATTGAGTAATGAGAGTTGAAATAGTTCCTACCTGATGGGACCCTGCAGTCTCGCTCCCAAAGTGTGTCACTACATTCCTCTGGTTGTGTGCAAGTGTTTAAGCGTTGGACAAACCAGAGTGAGCTGCATGTCCCTGCTTGTGTCACCGCCTCTGGGAACAGCCACCGACTAAACTACTAATACTGCGATTTATCTACAGCTCCTGCAAACGCGCAGACATCCACTCAGGCTTAAAGGGAGTGACAGCACTGTTGTTGTGTTTAGGACCAGGGTGCATAAATTTGCCTTTGTGATCTCGATGTGGTCTGATTTGTCACTAGTTACTGAGAAACTAGATTAGAAACTGACTATACATTTGCAATTAAAACCATTTTGGGTTGAGCAATGAGTATTTATTAATTACACTGTATATCATTGATTCTATTTCAATATTTATTTCACATTTGAATATTCTACTTGTTCTTAGTATCTCCAGTATTCCCTCTGGGGGATCCCTCTCAACTGGGATTAAGATTAAGATAGAGATCCTTTATCTTAATCAGACAAGACTCTTGGACCTGGTGCAGGTTTGGGGTCTCCTCTCTCCTCTGGGTCCTGTGAGGGTCTGCCTATTGTACCTGGTGGAGGCAGTACAGTGTTCATGGTTTTGCACTGGTAGAGAGGACTCATGGTCCGAAACAAGCGGGTCAGGCGATAATCCACTGGAGGAATGCAAACTTGTTGAAAAATGCAAACAAATCATTCAGCATCTCACTTTGGGCTAGAGCAGAGAAAATGGTGCAAACCAAGTGGTTGCTCCACCTCTGCTGCTTTGAACTAACCTGCTGCACCCAGCGGCTACGCCACCTCTGCTGTGGCATTTTAATACTATTGTTGTCTATTTTTAGATTTGTCAATTTAATTGTTTTGTTTGTATGGATGGATGTGTTTCTGCTGCTGCTGGACACCTGATGCTCTCATATGGGGATCAATAAAGTATCTATCTTTGCTGAGTGAATAGCACTCTCGCCTCTCAGCAAGGTCCAGGGTTCGAATCCTGGTCGGACCAGGGCCATTCTGAGTGGAGTTTGCATGTTCTCCCTGTGTCTGCGTAGGTTTCCTCCAGGTACTCTGGTTTCCCCTACCACTAAAAACATGTACAGTATAGGACTGTGCATGCGCCTCCTGTATTGGCGACCTCACTCCCATCTCTGTGTGGAGTGAGAGACAAATGCCCAAAATAGCAATGGTAAACTGCTTTGTGAATCTGGTCTGTGAAAGGGGTTGTATAAATAAAGATTACTTACTATCTATCTACAGTATCTCTCTCCTCTGGGTACTGTGGCCCTATGGCTGCAGGCACCTCTCTGCTCAGGTGCAGACTGCCCCTCGGATGGCGCTTCCTTGGCTGCACTCTGCCTAATTTTTTTAGGATTAATAGTTTCATGATTTTTTTTATTTCTTTGTTTTTTGGTGTGTGTGTGTGTGTGTGAGAGTGTGTGTGTGCATGTCCGCATGTGAGGCACTTGTGTTTGGACTTTGCTTGACGTAAGCATAGATTGACTTATTATAAATTATAAAATATGAGGTAATAAATGCTTGAATCGAGTACATTCCGACTGTCTTAAAACAAGATTAGCCAATGGGACAAAGCCGTTTAGCCTTAAATTGCTCATTCCAAGGGAGACATTTCTTTTTGTAATTTCAGGAATGTTTTTTTTTTATTTTTCATCACTTTATGCAGTGTAAATATTTTCAAAGCGGTATCTAGTCTGAGCTCTGACTTTGTGGCCAACAGATCAGATAGATGGAGAAATACAGGTGTCCAGCAGCAGAAACACATCCATCCATCCAAAACATCAGTAACTCACGAAGATCAGTGCTGTTGTGGGAGCTCTAAAGTGAAGGGAATGCAGTTTGTGTGCAGCAGAGTTTAATCTAATTGTGGCGTTGAGTTCAGTCACAGCTCTGTCTCACGAGTGACACACTGACACACATAGGAAACAACGAGGCACTGTAAGTCTTCTGCAGAGCCAGAGGAGAGCAAACAACTACGCCAAATCTAACACACACTGTACATCAGGAGAAACTTCTGAACATCTAACATCAAAAACACATAGCTCTGTTTTGAGAATGTGTCGAAAAATGGTATTCCTCAAATCACAATCGTCAACTTGGTTTGTTATCCACAGTAAATTTGAAAGAATTTGCACAGGAAAGGGTGAAACTTAAATTTGTATGGCACGAAAATAGATTTTGCTTTTCAGAAAACGTCTTGGTAAAGGCAAAATATAAGCCTGTCAAATTTGTCTAATAGCACTTACTGTATATTGAAATGGAAGGAGTATCAGACCACTGCAAATCTACCAAGACCCGGCCGTCCCTCCAAACTTTCATCTCAAACAAGGAGAAGACTGATCAGAGATGCAGTCAAGAGGCCCATGATCACTCTGGATGAACTGCAGATAACTACAGCTGAGGTGGGAGAGTCTGTCCATAGGACAACAATCAGTCGTGCACTGCACAAATCTGGCCTTTATGGAAGAGTGGCAAGAAGAAAGCCATTTCTCAAAGATATCCATAAAAAGTCTCGTTTAAAGTTTGCCACAAGCCACCTGGGAGACACACCAAACATGTGGAAGAAGGTGCTCTGGTCAGATGAAACCAAAATCGAACTTTTTGGCCACAATGCAAAACGATATGTTTGGCGTAAAAGCAACACAGCTCATCACCCTGAACACATCATCCCCACTGTCAAACATGGTGGTGGCAGCATCATGGTTTTGGCCTGCTTTTCTTCAGCAGGGACAGGGAAGATGGATAAAATTGATGGGAAGATGGATGGAGCCAAATACAGGACCATTCTGGAAGAAAACCTGTTAAAACCTGTTGGAGTCCAAATCTACAATGGAATGGTTCACAAATAGACGTATCCAGGTGTTAGAATGGCCAAGTCAAAGTCCAGACCTGAATCTAATCGAGAATCTGTGGAAAGAGCTGAAGACTGCTGTTCACAAACGCTCTCCATCCAACCTCACTGAGCTCGAGCTGTTTTGCAAGGAAGAATGGGAAAGAATTCCAGTCTCTCGATGTGCAAAACTGATAGAGACATACCCCAAGCGGAGCAGAAATGTGAATGAAAACTTGCCTTGGTCTCTGTCCCACTGTGAGACCTATGATTTTTTGACACAAATCACTAGTTCAAACACAATCCGTCACTAATGTATGGATGTATTTTGAGTCCTTTACTTTTTACATTGTACACTCATGATTGTGTGTCTTCCTCAGACTCTAACCTGATCCTTAAATATGCTGATGACACCACCATCATCGGTCTCATCAGTAATAACGATGAATCGTCTTATAGAGCCGAGATCCAAAACGTGGTTCAGTGGAGTAAGGCTTACAACCTCCAGCTGAACGCATCCAAAACATGTGAACTGGTCTTTGATTTTAGTCGCAATAGTTCTCACTTGCCTGTCGCAATCGATAACTCCCAAGTGCAGATTGTAGAGGAGTGTAAGTTTCTGGGTCTAACTCTGTCTAACGACCTGAAATGGGTTAAAAACACTGACCGGGTCGTAAAGAAAGCTCGTCAGCGTCTCTACTTCCTGCGGAAACTTAGAGAATTTACCACTAACTCTAAGATTCTGCTGAACTTTTATCGCTGCACCATTGAGAGTTTACTTGTTGGTTCTGTGTCTGTGTGGTTCGGTAACATCACAGATAAAGAAAAGAGAGCTTTAAACAAGGTGCTCCGCTCTGCCAAGAGGACTGTAGGCTGTGAACTTCCTGTCCTGGAGGTTCTTTATCAATCCAGACTTTTTAACAGTGCCCTGAGAATTATCAATGACTCTTCTGGCCACCCAGGAAAAGCCTTGTTCCAGCTTCTTCCCTCTGGCAGAAGATACTGTTCTCTGAGATGCAGGACATCTCGTTATGCTAATAGTTTTTTTCCACGAGCTGTTGAATAGAGCACTTTAATGTTTTTGCACTTGTATAGATCTGTTTTAGTTGGTCAACTTCACGGTGACATTTGTTTACTGTTTTTAAAATTTGTTTTATTTTTGTCTTTTAATGTTGTTTTATGTCTGTACTTGTCCTGTGCACACTGGGAACTTTTACTAATGTATTCCACTGTAGTGTTACTGCAAATGGCGAATAAAATGAATCTGAATCTGAATCTGAATCTAACAACAACTGACGTGTGGTAGACATCCGGCTTTTGGTCCGGGTTTGGTTCTGCTCTAGTGGTTGGTGCTGCGGTCTTAGGTCTGGTTGTGGTCTTGTCTGTGGCCGGTTATACCTCTGGTGGACTTGGATCTGGTTCTGGTCTGGTTTGAGGTCGATCATACCTCTTGAGGCTGGTGCTTTTGTCTTGCTGTCCAATGCTTGGCTCCGGCGGTTTGCGTTGGAGCTGATCCGGCAAGACGAGTCGACAGCTGTGACTCGAGATGTAGGAGCAGGGAGTCTGAGGACAGAACCAGACCAAGGTCAGAATTCAAGACTGACTTAAAGTTGCATATAAGAAACTGTTCGATCGAGCTCAACCTGCACAGTGTGGGGGATCAAATACAACTTTAATCCAGTTATTTAATTCATGTTCTTTAGCTAAACTGCTTTGCACACCAATGAATTATTATTTGGTTAAATTACAATCTCAACACTGATCTAAATCTATGGTACGGTTTGGCACTGTGCTCTTGTAAGGCAAGGCAAGACGCATGTGTATTAAACGGTCCATACACAGGGCAACTCAACGTGCTAAACAAAGAAAAGAAACATTACAATCGAACAAGGCATTAAAATCATAAATAATCACAGTGCATTGAAGAAAGTGAAGATACAATCCTTCAGTTATATGCACAGTAAAATACAACTGTTTTTTAACCTGGATTTGAACATTGTCTTAGTTGAAGCCAGTCTCAAAGTTTAGTCCTGACTCAAAGTACAAAATATGTCAGTCCCATAAGAACCTTCTCTGAGTGAGGAGCACAGAGACAGCTAGCCTCCTGCTGGGACCTTTACTCACTTTTATCAAGTGCTAAAATTGGTGAATGTAACCGATATACAGCGAAAACAGTTTGATGATAGGCTAAACCACTGCAAGTAAACAGCGTGTTGCTATGGTAACTCGCATTGCCCTGCTCTGGTGGAAAACGAAGCTGAACCTGTACCAGTTCAAACCAGTCCAGGACCAGCACATCATTTATCTACCATAGAATGCTGATTACCAAACGACCAAAAATTGATACATTTGAAATGTACATATTCAAATAGATGGAGCAGTCAAAATGACAGCTCTAGGATACAACTACTCACAATCAAAAATAAAAGATAATTTTATAAAAGAAATACAAATAAGCTACAGAAGTTATGAGGATCAAAAAATATCATTATGCTTCCAAAGCCAAAACCCATCAATTTGACTGCTCTGGGAGTGCTAATGGAAGAAGGAAATCCCATGAAACAAAAAAGAGTGAGTTCTTGTTATTTCCAGCAGGGGAAGCTGTTGGACTTGGGATCAGACTGATCACACAATCCATGCAGGTAACACATGTTAGTTTAAATCAATTATGTCGCCTTGACATTGTCTGTTCTCGTATGTGACTGTGTACTGTGGGCCTGTATTTGTGAGCATTTGTGTGTGTGTGCATTTGAATGAGTGTGTATGACATGATTGATTCCTCTGATATCAGAAAAGTGTGACATCATCCCGCTCTGGACAAAGACCCCTGGGTTCTGCACAGGTATCTCTCAGAGGTCACAGCCTGTGGCCCCTGAACCATGAGCCCAGTGGGGTCTGGTGTTTGTGGACAGAATGTGCACAGCAGGAGGATGCAGGTAAAATCAGGCTAAGGACATTCTGGGCTAAAGTCACAGAAGCAGACATCAGACATGCAGACAGTCTGACCGGGTTTTTTTGGAGCCCAGGGAAAACTGGAGCAGTTTAGATTGAGACGCTTCGCTGAGGACAGAGGACAGAGCCAGAACATGAAAATAATTTTAGTACAATACCGGTTCTACAGCTGCAGTACAACGATGAAATAGACCCAACTGGATCTTTGTGCACTAGTAGAGCTCACCTGGACTGCATGTCTGAGAGTGCAGTGTGCTTGTGTCCACCAGGGGGCGTCCCATGCGGAGAGCACAGGTGTGGAGGTGCACTGCTGTGGTGGCTGAGGGGAGGGTGAGGCCTCTGCTGCTGCTGTTTGAACCGCGACAGGCTGAAGAACAGTCCCAAGATTGCCTTCAGATTTCCATTACCGATCTCTGCAGAAAACACGACAAATGAACATTACTTTCACTATTTACAAAACCATCACGTTTTACTTTAAAATAACAATGTATATATTTGTTAGAGCTTGGTTATGTAGATTACTAGTGCCCTTGGACCAAGCCCTGGGTCTCCCAGATGGCTGCCCATTCAGATCAATGGCCTGTGCTCATTGGTTCATTCTCGCACCATGGACATCCGAAATATTAGCAGAAGTGATGTGTTCGTACCAGCTCTGGTTCTCTTGGGCTTTGCAGTAGGTGCAGTGCTTCTACTGCCACAGAACCAGAGTAACACATGAGCTTTCTGACCAATCAGAGCGCAGCTGATCAAAGTCAAGTTTGCACTGTGTTGACTTATAGGATTTACAAGAAACACTAACATTTCTACAAAAACTGACCTTGGTGAAAGATAAATGTTAACTAAAGCTGGTTTAGTTCACAATGAGATGCATGGGATCATTTCTTACACAGCCCATGTGGATTTTACCTGCAGTACCGCAGGTGGCCCTGTGTCTATGTGGATGCAGTTTTAAGCAGCAGTACCCACTACATATTAGAATACATACATACAAAGTGGAAAGGAGATGAAAATAAAGACAAATTCAAAGTTAAATTTTTAATGTCCTGATAGTTCAGCAGAGAACCCATCCTCCTCAATGTCTATCATTAACAAGCTGCACCGCTAAACTAAAGTCTCAGATTACAGTTGACAAGTCAAAACTAGATGATACAAACCTGCCATATGCACTTTCAACTTAAACCACATAGGTAGTAAGTAAGTAATCTTTATTTATAGACCGCCTTTCACAGACCAGAGTCACAAAGCGGTTTACAATTGTTATTTTTGGGCACTATTGTACATATTTTTTGTACATATTTTTAGAGGTAGGGGAAACTGGAGTACCCGGAGGAAACCTACGCAGACACGGGGAGAACATGCAAATAGGCTATTTAAGGAGGTATTAATACATCAAGTACAAGTACATCACATCACATAGCACATAGTCAACCGAATATTGTCAATGGCAGGCCATAAGTGCAGTCCTAGTACAAAGAGAGGATGGGAGGTTCTTACCTTCTGAGGACAGCCCCTGAATGTTGACTCCTTTGGCAGCGAGGAAACTCAAGCACACGTCAATGTTCTCAATCTGGAACATACAAATAATAACACTCAATATTTACATGTGATTTACATTCCACAGACGACAGACGAGAGGCAGGCTGTGCTGGCCGCTGACCATTTCCCATGTCCTCAGACTCGCACATGCTAGTCCAGTAGTGACCAAAACTCCAGCCTGTGGGCCTGATGCGGCCCTTTTAAAGTTTCTATTAGGTCCCTGAGCCCATATGCTATGAATACCTCTGTGCTGCATCCAGAGTTCTGGAGCCACTGTCTCGCTCCTTGCTCCGCATCACTGTATTGTAGGGCATTTTTTCTCTCACTCCACACATTGGAAAACGGAGCACCTGGAGGAAACCCAACCAAGACAAAAGAAACATGCAAACTATACTCAGCTATTGTTGTATTGTGTATTGAATGCTGTTGTTTTTGTAATAAGTTATATATATCTACATATATTTGTGGTAAACAGATGTAAAGCATTGACTGAAAAGAAGAATACTGCATATAATAGCACATTTAACAAAAAAATATGGAATCATGTTCATTTTCTGCAGACACTTTGGCAGAACTGCGTCACAGAGTTATGCATAGACTTACAAACACTTGACATATGAAAAAGGTGAACAAGAAGACCACACATTATGCCAGTACAAACATTTACAAATCATGATGGCCGACAAAGGACCATGTAGAAAACAAGCGTACTAAGTAACTGCACGAGTACTAGAATATTGCAGCTCATAGAGGGTTAAATGTAACCGTGTATGAACTTTCAGTTTGGCATCAACAGAGCAGAAACAAGAGGACAAAGTTTACTAACGCTCAGTGAGGAGAAACATGACATAATTTGGACTTTGGATTACAGTCGGACGTACGAGCTGAAAATGAAAGTTACTGCCTTTGTGTGCAGGAGTAGATCAGCAATAGACTGAAAATATGGATACAGGAATTTGACCAGAGAGAAGGCTCCATCCCCGAGGTTTAAGACACAGGGAAGTCCCAGTACCCCTGGGTTCAAGACCACAGAGAAGGCCCAGTACCCCGGGTTTAGGACCACAGAGAAGGCCATGTACCCCGGGTTTAAGACCACAGAGAAGGCCCAGTACCCTGGGTTTAGGACCACAGAGAGGGCCATGTACCCTGGGTTTAGGACCACACAGAAGGCCTTGTACCCCGGGTTTAAGACCAGAGAGAAGGCCCTGTACCCCTGGGTTCAAGACCACAGATAAGACCCTGTCCCCTGGGTTTAGGACCATAGAGAAGGTCCTGTCCGAAGACCAAATGAGGTCTGAGGGGTACTATGGGGCGAGTCCATTCAAAGCTTTGAAAACAATACAATATTAAAATAAATTCTAAAATAAATTCAAAATTAAACAGGAGGCCAGTGCAACAATGGCAGGATTGGTGCCTTGTGATTGTGCCTTTTGATTCCTATCAGAAGTTGTTGAGTTTTGACTTAAATCAGTAAAATAAATTATTCAAATTTCACTTTAGCAACCATAGTTCTGTAATTATTGATGAATCCTCTCACCTCAGTCACCTCCTGCTCCTCTGTCTTTGGAACAACAACGTGTGACTATTTACTCTTTGCAATAAAACCAGAGCTCCACCAATCACAGCACAGTCATTGCGCAGCCAATCACAGCACAGCAGGAAGTCATTGCCTTTCAAACAGCACTCATGTTTACACTTCACAGACCAGGAACCACATCCACTTCAGAACAAACCAGAATCACGTCGTCTTGACCTGTTACTTGACCTGGAACTTTTAAATCAGTGTGAACGGTACCTCTGACATGGACATTCAGTTCAACACTTATCTCTGTTCGTACCGTTTCATGTTGGTGTGTCTTGAAATGACTCACATTGTCAAGTTAAAAAGCCCTGTAAGAACTTTCATCTTTCTGCGAAACTCAAATAAGCATCCAGTCCAATCGTGCTCTTTCTAACGCTAACTCTGACTCAGGCCTGTCCAACTAATGTCGCCAACACCCAAGCCATTCAGGTACAGTGTCAAACAGCCAACTTCAGCTCCACTGATATAGTCATAATGTACCTTGTTGTAAAGATCAGCCCCTTTGGAAACCAGAGAATGTCAGATTTGGCACTATTCAATTCAATTAAATTTATTTTTGTATAACCCTAAATCACTACAGTAGTTATCTCCAAGGACTATACAAAGTTGTCATTTTGACAACACAGATCAGAAAAACAAACACAGCAAAAGCAACAATAAAAAACAAAACAAACAGCTAATGGTCCATAAGGGGCGGATGATCAATGTCCATAAATGTGAATAGATGTCCATAAATGTCCTTAAATGTCCTGGATCATCCCTGTTGCAGTGAGGCAGCAGCTTCCATCTGAGCATGTATGCAAATATAACCAACATTGTTTTAATGCCGGGCTTCATCATGTGACCGCAAGGGAATACTTGTTCAGTGGGAAATGAGAAGTCCTGCTTGAAGCTGGATTTACACGTGCTCTAGTCCTGGGTTGGACCTTCTTTTGTCCTGGGCGAGACCAGCTTTAGACCTGCTTTAGGCCTGGGTTATACCAGGTTTAGACCTGCTTTAGACCTGGGTTGGACCATAGACTGCAAATATTAAATTACTTTCAATATGTAAATGTTGACGTTTTTTGGATGAGCACATTTTGAAATATTCGAACAACACTTTGTGGATGTGGGTGTGTGCCATAAAACATATTATTTTGCATTAAAAACACTTTCTCACAAGTTGTTGCTGTTTTCTAACATATAAGATACTGGAAATGTTTGAGGAGATGCTAAATAGTGATACAGTCCCTTTTCTGCAGGTTTTCATAAACACCTCAGAGACTGGTGCTTTCTGTCACACTCTTTTTGACTGGAGATTACAGGAGAACAAAACAAACTAAAAACAAACTTATTTTTGCTGCTGAAAGTAGACAGTCCTGTCCTTCAGACTCAGGTTTCATATTGTTCATAGTCATAGCATACAATATTCTGCAAGTCTTGAAAATCAGTGAAGTCATCAAAATGGCTGGCAGTCAATGAGTTAACGGACGTAGTCACGCCTATCTCCGCCATTCAAAGTAATGTGCCATCACTTTCGCCATCTATAGGTAGTTTCAAAATGGCTGCGGGGGCAGGAAAATGCAGGAAATGCGTTAGCCAGCACAAGCCCCATTCATTTAACGAGTGTCTTCATAATTTCACAGAGGCTAATCTAGGTCTGGGCGATAAAACGATAACAATATATATTGCGATAGACACGTGTTCAATATCAATGGAAAACCGGGTCGATAGAATGTTCGATAGTTTAACTTCACTCCGTAAGAAAAAACAGGAAGAAAACACAGTAAGTAAAGCCGAGTCAGAAGCGCGCAGCATTCTGGGGGATGTAGGCATAGGCTTTTCAACCTATCACGGCCAAGCATGAACCACAAAACATTGTGGGAAATGCAAAAACAACAACTGCACCATGCGTAGCGTCCATGGATCCAAGATTGCTTTTCAAAGCCGTGTCAATGGTTGTGCATGTCCGTGCGAGGCATAGCATGTGCGGCGCGGGAGAGGCAGTGGACACGGAGACCAAATCCATGCGGCGAAAGCAAGGGATACACTTTTTTCTCCGTGCGGCTATCAGAGAGCGGCTGCACGGAGCCGTCATGGGGACACAAAACAGGAGAGGAACCAGGACTAAACCAGGATTACACCAGGATTAAACCAGGACTAACTATGGGGGAGACTGCTTGTGAACATATTCCTCGAGCCTCATTCCCCGTGACTGTAAACAAGGCTGCTAACGTGTGTTAGCCGACACAACAAACATACTTATTCAGGTAAAAAAATAATAATAAAATAAAAAAAATTAACGGCTTATTAACCAAGCGCGAGGTATGTATGGAGAAATATCAGACCGCGGCCTTAATGTACAGACCGAGCCGGTTTTGTGTGATACGCGCTGTTTGGACCAATTGTCATGGTAACGGTCCGAGATGGGAAAATATCAGACCCCAAAATCAACCAATCAGAGCGCGTGTACGGTCCAAGTCATATAATAAATATCGTTATTGACCGATATGAAGTATTTATATTGTGATATAGTTTTCAGCCATATCGCCCAGCCCTAGGTTAAACTAGACTAGATTAAAAAAAAAAATCATCCTGTAAAGCCATTTTGGAGAGGTAAGAAGATATGAACATTAGCATTGGATAATTCCTTTTCCGGGTCCACCCCAATCGGCCTGGGGTGGTATTGCAAGCATGTCAGCGCACGTCATTTTTGAGCCGGGACTGGATTGGACCCGATTTAGACCTGGGTTGGACCTGCTGTCAAAAATAAGATACTTTTGGCAGCTATCATTCGTACCTGTAAACAAGAAAGTCACCATCTATACTACTTTTAAAAGACATTGTGGTTCACAATGGCCCTGGTTTTATGATGTATGTCTGGATTGGGTCTTGTGGACTTCTGATGTGGCTGTTCCTGCCCTCAGCTGGTGGTCGGTCCTTAGAGGGGGAAAGGGGGAGTACGAACGCCTCCCTCTACCCAGTGACGAAGCTCTGTGTGGGGGTAGAAATGTGGACCAGTGTGCCAGCTGAGGGCTATTCCTGGAGCTCTGCCCAAACTCTCACACACCCCACTTCAAATTCAATTATTCCTGCATCATCCACCAAAACAGAACTCAAAATGCAAACATATTGTTTGACTTAAAACCCATTTCCAAGCTCTTCAAAACACCATGAAGGACTTTAACTAGTTAAATTGATGTTTTGACATTTTTCAACACCATCCATCTATTTTCTTCTGCCCAAAATTCCCTCTCCAAACACACTTCCTCCAGCTCATGGGGGGGAAATCCAGAGACCCAGGCCTCCATTGTGTCCTGGGTCTTTCCCTCTCTTCAATAGTTTAGTGTCTGTGGCACCTGGAGTTCTCAGAAGTCTCATCACAGTATTAACCAGGCTGTGCCCTGCTTAGCTTCAGAGGTCTGAAAGAATCTGGCTTTCACATGCAGGTGTTGCAAGGAAAACAGGGAACAAGGAAATACCAAGCTGACTTAGCTCAGAACTAGACCCAGTCCAGGACCAGCCCAGAAACAGTTCAAGGCCAGTCCAGAACCAGTCCAGAACCTGTCTACAACCAGTCCAGAAACCAGACCATTTCATTTCCAAAACTTAAAGCCTTCAAATTGACTTCAATGGTAGTTCTCGTGTTAATTATGAAAAATTGGCAGCAGCTCATTAATCAGAAAAGCTCCATCTACTGGTTTTAGGAGGGATTACACACCTTTAAATGACCTCCAGCTGCTGTACACTTTGATTTGTAATTAGTTCTTTGTGGAGATGAACTTTCCCTCCTCCCTAAGTCCCTGAACTTACCACGAGGCTTTCAAGTGTCACTCAGAGAATCCCAGAGCAGTGAGGCTGACCCCAGAAACCACAGGAGCAAAAATACTAAGAATACGACTACAAACACTAGACTACAGCCACTTTCACATCTGCTCTGTCCTGACTGAGACGCTCATTCTGCAGTTCAAAAGGAACAGGGCAGGGGAGGGATCAGGACTGGACCAGCTCTGAACTAGCAATATACCAGGTCTGGACCAGGTCTGGACCAGTTCTGGACCAGGACTGGGCCAGCTCTGAACTAGGTCTGAACCAAGTCTAAACCAAGTCTTTACACAGCTAAATTTTAACCTGAGCCTCAACGACAGGGCTCAGGCTAAAACAATGAATAGAACAAGGTCAGGAGCAGGACTAGAGCTGGTCCCACCCTGGACTAAAACAGGTCTAAATTAAGTCTAGCCTCGGACTAAGGGAAGTCTAACCTAGCATTAAAGCAGAAAGTAGGTGTAAAGAAAGTCCAACTCAGGACTAAAGCAGATCTAAAGCAGGTCTAATGCAGGTCTATTGCAGGACTAAAGCAGGTCTAAAGGTCTAACTCAGGACTTAAATTGAAAAACAGCTCTCTCGTCTTTGTGGTTTTGGCTGGCTTGAGGAGCTCGGGCCACATTAAAGCACGGCCACAGAAACCACTAAGTCCTGCTCCAGTGTAACATCTGCAGAGACTCTGAGACTGTAGACCGGACTGCAGTTTGAGTCCTTATGTATGTCCTCATGTTTACTATTCACACTGCTGAAATTACATCTCGGCTGGCTTACAATACAACATATTTTTTATGAGGATATAGCAGATTCATTTGTCATTTCACTGCCCCAATAACTTAAGAACAGCAGGAGCGCCACTGGTTTGACGGTTTCTCTCCAACCACAACATTACAGCAAACAAGTTTTAAATAAACGTCTTGCAGGCCAATAATCACAAACAAAAAGAAATGTGGCCAGACATAAAAAAACATCTGAAAACCACAATGAAATACACCGAAAGCCCAGTTCCAGGGCAAAAAAGCTCTCATCAGTAATTCTATATGTGTTATTATCAGATAAACAAACTCAAACCCACTTATTATAAGAGCTTTCCCACGTCTTCATTTACACATGTACGTTTGTGAACAGGGAGAGATTATATTAATTTACAAAAGAGAAAATACAAGTTGGTATTGGTTCTATCCAGGCAGAGCTGGTGCTAAAGTGTTGTAACTGGAGTGCTGCTGGAAGCCATAGTTACAACTAAATTTATTATTATGAATATTATTAATGTTTATTAAGAGGAATAACCCCTTACCCAGATATTGGTTAGTTGTGGGTAGGTTGCAAGGATATGGTACCAGATACTAAAGTGTAATGAATGCACAACCAGACATAGAGCCAAGTAGAGCAGAGTAAAGTAGAGCCAAGTAGAGCTGGTGGGAAAAGCTGTGAGATTTTTATTCATTGTAATTCCTTTGTTTTCTAATTGTATTGGTTTTTGGTTTGTTTTTGGTATATTTTGACTCGACAGAGCATGATTGTTTATTTGTATTACTATATTTTTCAATTTGGATATTCTTTGTTTATAAAATGTGCTCTATGAAAGTGTATTATATGACTTGGACCGTACGCACCCTCTTCCCATCCTCCCATCTCGGACCGTTACCATGACAATTGGTCCGAACAGCGCGTATCACACAAAACCAAGTCGGACATGAACATACTTCACAAATATCTCAAAAGCATTGGTAAAGACACAGACGAGAGTCATATAAAAAAACATTTATTAACCTTGGTTGCTTGGTCTGTACAGAGAAATATCAGACCTTGGCCTTTTTGCACAGACCTCGCCACGGCTCGGTCTGATATTTCTCCATACCGACCTCGCGCTCGGTTAATAAGCCGTTAGTATTGAATGAAACAAAAATAATAATAATAATAATAATAGTAAAAGGCACTTCACATCATTTTTCAAACTTGGTGGTGATAAACTACTACTGTTGCCACAGCTGCCCTGGGACACACTGACAACTTATATGTGCCATCGACCCCCTTTGACCACCACCAACCATTCACGCACACACCAGACTCATACAGCCGCCCCAGTGTGATGGCATTTGTTCCCAGACGTCTCCCATCACAGCACTAACCCAGGCCCTATCCTGGACCTGACAATGACATCGCCACCAGCCTCGCTCTTTAAAACCAACAGATTGGGGAAAATAATGAATCAAGAACTAAACTTAGATGGGCAGCATTCTACCATTTAGGAATCATATCTAGAATTAAAAACTATAGACTGCATTTCAGGAGGACTGTTATGAGGAGGTTATTGCATATACTGTATTTGTTGGACTATTAAGTGCACTTGTATATAAGTCGCACCAGCAGCTGCCCCCACTCTATGGAACTTTCTCCCACAATACATCAGAACTTCACAGCATGATTTCAAATCACTGTTCAAAACCAAGGCTCAAAACTGTCTACACTTAAGTGTTTTGGTGGTTTTTTTTACTTTTCAACCCGTCCCTTTGAAACGCATCAAGTGTCAAAAAAAATCATCCATCCATCCATCCATTTTCTACCCTTTAATCCATTTCTGGGTCAGGGGGGTGGCAATCAGAGATGCCACCCAAGTCTCATAGCACCAGCCCCTCACTGATCCTCTGCAGGTGGTGAGTCCACAGGAGGACGGCTGCTCTCTGAGTGTGAGCATAGCCTTGATCTTTCAGTGGGGGCTTTGGGCAAAGTGGGGTTAAGTGTCTTGCCCAAGGACACAAAAAAAATCATGATGATTATTATTATAATTAGACATAGGAGAGGCCTGTATATGAGGTCAAACGCGTCACAGTAAATACACATCTTACCGGCCGTTTTTATAAGGAGACTTTCTCTTTCATAACTATCTGCAGTATTGCTCAATGATTGCGTTTACAAAGCATTAGTTTAAACCGGATTCTCCAAATAGTCAAATTTAATGTGATTGATAAAGACGCATGGAAACCAGTGCGTGCCGAATGAGGTGTGAGAAACCAGGTGCGAGAAACCAGGTGCGAGAGTGCTGGTGGAGGTGAGCTGCATGCAAAGTCAGATTGGAATGAGACAATACGCAGAAATCCGTTTGAGAGCAAAGGGAAAAGCCTGGGTCATATTAGAAATGTACATGTTTGGACAGATAACAGAGAGTTGTTTTCCAAGTGTCTGTGTAGGTTCCTCCAGGTGCTCCGGTTTCCTATACTACTGACAACATGTAACGTCTTCAAGGAGACTATGTACAGCTCTCCAGGGACTGCAAATGAAAAAATTATTTCTTGGCTAATTCTGATGCTTTCACAGAAATTGTTAATGTCCACGTCAAATAAATTAATAGAACAAATTAATATTTTAAATGGATGAAAAATAGCATTGAGCCAAGTCTACTTATTTACTAATAGACACTATCCCATTCAAATAAAGACAGTGCAAAATAATTGAGATTATAACTTAAACACCCCACAGAAAGCAGACATTAACTGAACAAAAACCCCAGAAATGATAGAAACTAAGCCAGAAAAAAGTCAAAGTGTTTATAAGCACTCACCATCTGCGAGCGGCTGCGCGGGCTTCCATGGATGTCCCCGATCTTTTCATTGGCTGAAAAAGAAGAGGATTGTGGGTAAGTGTGAGTGAGGTCCAACATGAAGACAGAGAGGCAGAGGAATGAAGTGTATCTGTGAAACATGGCCCAGCCCTCACTGGAGGCGGGTTCTGTCTGTGCAGGGACAAGGACCTACCTCAACCACAGAAACGTATCCATGAAATACAACTACTACAATAAACATATGAAAAAAATACTGAAAACTGTTATTAACAAATACTGGGGATAGCAGCTGCTGTCTTTGTAGGCCACACAACCACATGTCTTGGTTTGTTTTGTTCAATATGGTTTGTTTTAAAAAGAAACCTATCTGTGCTTCAACCTAATTTCCACCAGCCCTACTTGGTCCTTCTCTACACTACTCTACTCTACCCTGAATGGGAGCATTTTCACCGGCCGTGTTTAACCGGTACCATAAAATGTTAGTACTTGCTTAGCCTTGGTCTGGTACTAAAGCTTTCTAACTGCCGGAGATTGGCCAGAGTGCTGTTGGAAGCCATGGATATTAAGACATTTCCCTGAATGTCTGAAGGTTGCTAGGATATGGTACCAGATACTAATGCGTTATGGGACACACAACCAGGTAGAGTAGAGTAGAGTAGGACCATGTAGAGTTGGTGGAAACAGGGCTACAGTATGAGGATCTGTCTTAGTGCCGTGATGCCGTGATCCAAGATGGTGCTTGGAAGGCCATCGTATTTGTCCCAGCAGAGAGTGAGAAGGAGTTTCTTTCCTGAAGCTAAACCAAAGACTGCTAAACCAGGCCACAATAACGTGTCTCGGTTTTTGATGTGTGTTACGAAAAATACAACGAAAAGTGGGCAGTGTATGTGTTTTTCTCAGTTGATCCAACAGATCTTGATATTAACAAAGTTAGAGCTAATCAGTAGAGATTCCATTGTGTGCAGGTGGATAGATAGGCATACTGTATAAATTGTATAAATTGTTCCAACTTTTAGGGATCAACGTCAACATTAGAATAGGGTTAGAGGCCAATGGGTAAAAAAAATAATCTACACAAATAATTCAAGAAAGTTTTCTGTATTTTTTCCCTCGTTTTAATGCACTGTGATTGTTAAGCACTTTGAGTTGCCTTGTGTATGAACTGCGCTATACAAACAAACTTGCCTTGCCTTTGTCATGTAGTTGTGGCTGAATAAACAGGAGCCGTCACGGTGAGACATGCAAGGTTCCGGCTGCGTCCCGTGAGAAGCTGCTCTCTGACCTCCGCTCAGCATGTTGGCAGAGTGCGCTGTCGCTTTAAGAGCTCAGTGACAGCTGACTCGTGCCTGCTTAAAAACAGCCTCACCATGTCAGTCCCATCACCTGTTCAGGAACCCCCCCGCCCCATGTTTATGTGAGGCAGGACACACATTGGGCACTTACTTCAAAATGATGGGAATCTTTCTAGGTTTTTCTTTTCCATTACCCATTACGATTTTGTTTAGAGGGATTCAAGCATAATTGAACAGTAAATAAAAATCCAGTAATTTTTACTTCTTGGATTCTACCTACAATGCATTAATACTAATATATCACACAGTACACACATTCAGTTGAGTGACATATGTCAATTTGTTGGCTCATAGTAAATACCTCAAGTAAAACATGTTAGAATATTTTAATGAGTCCATATCATGTATTCAATTTTATGTTAAATTACAAAAGTTAACCGCACAGCCTCAATCCCCGTTCTGGATCTACAGCCTGTCCGTCTTTGGGAGCGGATTCCTCTCTTTTTTTTGAGTGGTTCCTTGCCGATGCAGGAGGGTCTAAGGACAGTGATACTCCGGGACATTTATTAACATTTATGCCCATTGGTCATTCCACTTCTTATGGACCTATGTGTTTGTTATTATTGTATTTACGCTGTGTGAACCGTTTCATTCTCTGATCTATCCTTGGCGAATCGACAACTTTGTAAAGAGGGCTGATTTAGGGCTTGCCAAAAAAAATTATTGAATTGAAATAAATAGACAAGTTTTGGTTGAGATACAGTTTAAAAGGCCATTACTGCAATGTAATCTTTGTAATGTAATCTTTATTTATATACCGCCTTTTCACTGCACATCGGAGTCTCAAAGCGGTTTACAATTGTTATACTATACATATTACTTGTTGAAAAGTATTGATTACTTTTTAGCATCTTTATTTTGAACATGAACATGTACAAGCACATGTATTCCAATGTGATTTTACTGCTAATAGCAAATAAACTGTATCTAGTTAGTTCTGATAAATAGATGAACTTATCCCAATGAAAATTATGTTTTATTTACGGACCTGTGTAGGTTGGCTGTAAAGTTTCAGAGCTCCTCCAGACTTCTCCCACACAGCTCCAGGTATTGCTAATTCCTGTTTGGGACAATATGTCCTTTTACAAACAGGTGAGGGCTTTGTGAAAGACAGACTCCTCTGGTCTTGGTAGAATGACATGTAACTTAGTAGTTACGGTGTGGAAAGATGTTGATGTCACACAAATGCGTACCAGACAGCCCTCTCACTATGATCTGCTGTTGATAATAGACTGTGTGGCCTGGTGGTGTTGAGGGCTGTGCTGGATTCCCTCTGCTCCTTTATGGGACGTCCCACTGTGCCAAGCTGCTGAGTCATTCAGGAGAAAATCAGCAAAAAATTGCAAGGAGGGAAAGTGCTACTCAATTTAATTCATTGGTCCATAGGGGGCAGATGACCCCTGTCCTTAAATGTCCCTGAATCATCAGAGTCCTTAGACCCTGCTGCATCAGCAAGGAATTACTCAAAAAATAAACAGCAAGTGAGGAAACAAGTAGGGTTGGGCAATATTTTTTTTGTACCGGTATACCGGTATAAGTAAATTAAATGATAAGAAAATGCCTTATACCGGTGAAAACGATCATTTAACACTGAAAACAGCGAGCGGAAGACACGTTTGTGTGCGGCGCACTTTGATGACGCATCTGCGCGGCACGTGTAGCAGAGCGGCGTGCAGGGACAACAACAACAGAGCAGAGAGCAAACATGGCTGAGGGCGGCGGTGAAGACCATGGTGAAGACATGCAGATTGTAGAAGACATTGTGCCAAAACGCGGAGCTACCTCAAGCATATGGGAGTAGTTTGGGAACTAGATAAAAAGAAGCAATTGTGTGTAACTATGGACAGTGGATCTAATGTTGTGAAAGCAGCTGCCCAAAACAACTGGACTCGAGTGGCTTGCTTCGGACACTCGCTCTCTCTCTCTCTCTCTCTCTCTGCCATTGGTAAGCTTTATTTACTGTTTACTGTCATTCATTTTACTTCAATGCATGTGTTTGTCTACATTGCAATATAATTACAAATAAGTTATAATTACATAATTATAGAAACGCAAAAGGATACAAAAAATATATACAGTATTTGATCATTTTGACTATATTGGGATTAGGAAACATAAGCCAAAGTGATCAAATAATTATTTGATAATGCTACACTTTTTATATTACAAAGGACAAACTTTTATATATTTTACAAATTACAAATGTTCACCTTTATTACATGTTGCCTGCAATTTTCAGTATGTACAAAACAGAATTCTCTACAATTCAGTTTTGTTAATACGTTTTATATACAATAGCTGTATTACACATTTTGCTGCCAATAAATCAGTAAATGCACTTTGAGGCAAGTGTGTTTAAAATGATCAGTGCTAAGTTTTTATAGCTTTTATATGAGGCTTTGTTCAAATTATCATATCGTCATATCGTGATACATACCAACAAAAATCGTGATACATGCTGAGGCCCATATCGCCCAACCCTAGAAACAAGTGAGAAACCTCAAGGAGGCCCAAAATGAGAGAGGGATCCGCTCCTACTTACAGACAGGCTGTAGATCCAGGACTCTAGAAGAGGTTTGACCACTGCTATCTACAGGTATATGCTATAATCACTACAGAAGGGCATGGAATCTTTCTAATTATACAAACCATTGCTTTAGCTTAACTTTAGTCACAGTCTGACAAAATCACTGATTTGACAATTTTTTGACAAAGTTAAAAATGTATTAATTACAAGAATAATCAAAAAAACTACTCGATAATCAATATCTGTCCTAATTACAGCTCTAAAAATCATATTGCGGAAGAAAGCGTCTTGTGACTATTTTCTAATAGTAAATAGCTCGGTCTGATAAGAACCAGGGTTCAGCGGGTACTAATAAAGTACCTGGTACCGGTTAAACAGGGGCTGGTGGAAAGGATCCCAATCAGGGTAGAGTAGAGTAGAGCCAATGGGAGCTGGTAGAAACAAGGCTTCTGCGCAGCAACTAAATAATCAGAGTGAATAGCTACTTCTCTCATGCTTTTCACCACACCCCATTCTTCAAACAGGTGTAATACCCAATTTGGATATGTTGCTCAGATTAGAGCTGGCACTCTACAGTTAAAGTAAACAAAAAAATTGTGAGTTCTAAGGTCAATTGTAATTGACTGTTACAACTTTGGTGTAACAGTCATCAAAGCGTCCGACCATCACCATCCAGTCACTCATTACATTCATTACATTGTACATTGTACTAGTGGTAGGACAAAGCGCTAATTATTGGCCCACAATGTCGTCCTCGTATGAATTTTTGGTTTTAAATCCATGTGTGAAAATGGAGTCAAAAATATGGTTTCTAACTTTTTTCTCACTGTTTGTTTTGTTGATCCTTGCAGGGTCTAAGGACACTGAGGATCCAGGACATGTACAGTATGGCATTTATTAAGATTTCTGAACATCCCGCTCCCTATGGATCAATGGCTCAGTGGATTCTCTGATTTGTTGTTGGTGAATCGACAATCTTATTGAATTGAAGTCTTAAAGAATATAGATAATTGTAGAGGGTGGGCTTGGTGTGTTCAGCAGAAAGTCATATGTTCAGCTGCTGTCGTTGCTGCGCCACATAGTTTCTATGTAACAATAGTTGTGTGTTTGTGTGTTTGCGTTAGAGTGAGGAGAGCAGGTCATACCGACGACTTGTATAATGTGAGCCAGCAGCACGCCATCGCTCACATCCGTCTGTAGGTCTCGGATCCTGTGTCTGTGTCCTGACTTGGACAGGTAATGGTTGGCCCAGTCCGTGTAGATCTGCAGAGATAAGACATAACAGATTCACATAAATCTTATTTTCCCTTTGCAGTAAAATTACATTGAAATACATGTGCAAAAGTCCCCAGTGTGCACCACCACAAGTACTGTATTTTCAAAGATATAAGCCGCAGGCCCCAATTTTCGGAAAGAAATTGAATTTTGTACGTGTACAAGCCGCACCGCTGTACCACATTGTAACATTGAAAAATTTTGCTCAAAAACATTCATCATGTTTTTACTGTGAGTAATAACAGTAAGAAGTGAGTCATTGACTGTTCTAAATCTTCCAGTTTGAAACAGAAAGGTAAGGAGCAACATCTACTCGTATCTTTTCACTTTCCTGTCTGTACAGAGCACCAAAAAAATATTTATTATACAAGATATTTACACAACAATATTATAGGTGAGGACCTTTAAACTCTACGTGATTGACAATTTTTACAATTTAATTGGATCTGTGAACTACTCATCAATTCTGTTGGTCTACTGTTACTTGGCAAAAAGTTTTTGGCGCCAAAATGAAAAGAAAAAAGACAAAAAATTAAGCCGCACCTTACTATGATGCAGGAAAAAAGCTGCGGCTTAAAGTACACAAATAAAACCAGATGAAAGGACAGGAATAAAACAAGCTAAGAAAGCGCAGAAGACAGTTGTCACTGTGGAATCGATCAACAGAAAACACTTCATTAGAAGAGCAAGATCCTTAAATTGCTCAGCCAACAAAATCTTTTGCTGGAAGGAAGAAGCTGGAACATAGCTTTTCCAGGGACCAGAAGAGTCATTGATTATTCTAAGAGCTCAGTTGCAGTCTGTATAATCTTAATCTTGTGTATTTGTCATGGGGGTCAAAGATTTTACTGCTTCAAAGACATGGACAAAATGAACCAGTACAAAAAAAGTCCAAGGTCCAAATGCCCATCTTAAGGCACACAGACTAAAGCAGGGTATAACTTTTCAGGAAACAGAGCCACTTGCAGAATCAGAATTATTGTTATTGACAATGTAAGTAACAGGAAGTCACACACTAGGAATTTGTTTTGACTCAAGGTACAAACATGTTATTGACCCCTTGCATGTGACGTCCCGGCCACGCCCACTCTCCATGACAGACGGCAGAAGTCTAACTGGAGCCTACGAACACCTGACCAAAACAAACCTGTTTCAGCGCATTACAGCCAAAACTGTGACATTTTGCAGTGCGGTTGATTATACTAACAGGCAAGGACATAAGCTTTTTTATCTGATACCTGCTCGTCATGAAGACAGAAGACGACGATGGCCAGCGGCAATCAACCAAAAGGACTGGGACCCATCCAAGTACTCCCTAATATGCAGTGAACACTTTTTACAAGATAAAGCAATCACAAGTTTGTATTTATTTTATTTCCATTAATTTGGAGCACAATGACACACGTCAAACGTGTCTCTTACTACTGTCCTGTATGTGCGCTGCAACATTGACATTATCTTTTAAGTCAATTGCGTGTTTCACTATTTTCCTCTCCGTCAGTACGTATCATTTTTGGCTGTAGACAGAAAAGCCACAGAAAAGTGGACTATTGCTAATGCTACCAGCAAAATGTACATATAAATCTGCTCCAGTGTAAGGGGATGCATTGTTAACGATAATGATAAAGATCATGAAGGGTGAATTCGGGCAAAAATAGACATTTTATTTAATCGATAAAATTGACTGGGGGGAGAAGGTACGGGTCAACATCCAGTTAGGCGATCCTTAACTTCTCCAAATACCACTCTTTGTGAGCCCTGACCTGATGTCCTACTTCCACCTATAACGTAATCGAACATTGCTTGAAGCAGCCACTTCTCGATTTAAGAGAGGAAGCTCCGTTTTTAAGAGTTGTAGTCTGTTTTGCTCTCACAGCAATGCTAGTTTCCAATACTTCCGCCATAAGCTTATTCACAATCACGTGACTGGATGACGTTGATGCATCTGGTCAATAGATAAGGCATGTATAAAACAAATCTTCATTAACCTGAATTTTCCAAACTACTAGATATTACTTGTCTCTATTGACTTTATTCCAAGTCTCTGTGGAATAAAGCAGTTTTAACTGGACACAATTTAAATAAATGATGAGGTGTTTTAATGCACTGTTAGCTTTATAAACAACACATTGAGCAAAAATAACTATTACCTTCCGTGTCCCGACTCATTTTCCAGTCTATTTTGACTATAAACCTACGCCCTACAGCTACAAAAACTAGTCAAAATAATTCAAAGTACAGTATATTTTCCTGCACTCTGTTGTTCACATAAACACAAACAGCTGATGCGTCCCTGCGCCCCAGGAGGAAACCCCACCACAATACAAATACATACATTGGCTGCAGGGTTTAAAGAACTTGACTAAGGGAGCAGCTTGTAATCCGGAAATTACCATACTTGCTTATTAACTTTAGTCCCCTCATTATTATTGATTCTTGTTTGCAAAGAACTTAAATGATTGCAGTCTTTGTGATATGTTAATTGTGACCTCCGAAATCTCAATTTGAATTGTGCTTCAGTGCTGACATTGTCCAGTTTTAGTCCTGCTTCGCACCAATGAGGTAAATTCAGTTGGTCCAGCTACAATCCCTGGTTTACTGTGATTCCAGACACTTCTGGCTTGGTTCAGTTTGAATCCTGCTTTAAATTTCAATTAAATTCAATGTATTTTTGTATAGCCCTATAATCACAAACTGCACTCAGAAGACTTTACAAAGTTGTCAATTCACCAACAACAGATCAGTGACTCAAATAGTACAAACACAGGAAATGCAATAATAACAAACATGTAGAAGCCATTGGTCCATAGAGAGCAGGGTAACCACTGCGTATAAATGCTAATTTATGTCCACAAAAACATTCTTGCTTTGTAAAGTTAGTCCAGCTATAATTCCTGGTTTAGTGTTACTTACTTAAGTCAATACTCTAGCCCTGTTTTAGTCATTTAGTCTGACTTCAGTCCTGCTTCAGTCCAGTCCTGGTCCAGCCCCAGTCTCGCGCACACTCCACATCTCTGCTCCATTCAAACTCTAAACAAACACTTGCCTCAGTTTCCGAACTCTGAAAAAGCTCTCCAATAAAATCCACCACAAATTGCACTTTACAAATCCATCAAGAGTCTGAAATGACAAAAGGACGAGTCTTTTACGAGTCCCCCGAACGCCTTGCACGTCGCACAAAAGCTCGGAGTGCGAATTTACGAGCTCCGACCGTCCCGCGAGGAGAAGGGCTCTAGATGGCCCTTTGTTGTGGGGGTGAGTGGCCCCGTATTCTAATAAGGACTATTGTGTGGAATGGGGGCAAGCTAAGCCAAGACAGGAGGGGGTATAGGCTGTGTGTGTGTGTGTGTGTGTGTGTGTGTATGTGCATGTGCGTGTGAGTGTGTGTGCGTGTGTGCGCACGTGTGTGTGAGTGTGTGCATGTGTGTGTGTGTGTGTGCGCGTGTGTAGGGGGAAAGAGAAGGGGTGCAAAAAGAGAGGGTAGGTAACAGGAATCGGGGCAGTTATAATTGGCTAAAAGTTATGTCAGAGAGGTTGGAGTAGTGTAACCTAAGGCAAGGCAAGTGCATTTGTATAGCACAGATCATCCTCAAAGTGCTAAACAAATCCATGTATAAATGATCACAGCATCAGGCATTTAAATCATGAATACTCACGGTGCATTAAAAAGATATAATCCTTCAGTTGTATGTACAACTAAAGAGAACTGTTTTTAACCTGGATTTGAACATTGTCAAAGTGGAAGCCTGTCTCACATTTTCAGGAAAACTGTTCCAGATTTTTTCAGCATTAATTTGAAATGCTATACTTGCCCATGTTTAGTGCTGACTCTGGGCACCAGTAGGAGGCCAGTCCCTATGCTCTTCACAGTTGATTCATATGTTCATATATAAAAGTGAATAATCTAAATTCCTGATATAATTTTACTCATTTGTGATAAATTTCCTGATTGTGATGAAGCTCTTAAACAGAGCAGGGCCTGGTTAGTACTGTGATGGGAGACCTCTGGGAACACCAGGTGCCACAAGAGTCAAACTGTCGATGTGTTCTTAGGCAAGACACTTATCCACATTGCCTCTGATGAGTCTGGTGTGTCTGAAATGTTGATGGTGGTCTGAAGGGCCGACGGCCCTGGTTGCCTCGCTTCTGTCAGTGTGCCCCAGGGCAGCTCCGGCTACAGTAAAAGCTTATCACCACCGTGTATGGAGTGAACGAATAATGCTGTAAAGCATCTCTGAGCTATATGAAACAGATGTTCTTTTTGCTGATGTGATAGAGGTTTGCTTCCTGTTGCCTTGTGTCGGAAAGGCGCTCTACAAATGAAAGTTGATTGATTGACTGTTTTTTCCCAACTCTGTGATCTCCAATAATTTAGTGCTGTAGCACAGACATTTTGGCAAACAACACTGGTGTGATCTGCTTTGTTCGAACTCTGCTTTGATGACATTTACGGGAGCCTACTCTTAAAGGGAGCGGAGGACAGTTCAAACTTTACCCTATGCGTCATGGGAAAGCCCACAGAGACCATTCTAATGACAGGCTCAGCGATCCTCTATAGAACTAACACAGGAGTCACCGCAGCACTGTACCGGACAGAGGTATAAGAATTAGCATTAGCACCTGTTCACCCTCTCATTTAGAAACAGACACCAGAGAGCAGACTATTCCGAGTCATAGGTCAGACATTCCTCGGCGCACAGAACAGAGCTGAATCTCTCAGTGCTCTCGGCCAATTTCACTCTGGGGCTACACTCACGTGTCACCCCGTTAACTCATCAAGTCATTCATTTGTTTAGTAACCTTTGCACAGAACTTGTGGCTAATTGTAAAAGAATACAATCTAACTGTGGTGTGTGTAAATGTTGTAATGAAAGGAATGACCATGCAAGCAATCCCAATAATACATGTAAGTACAGGTGGAAGGAGCTGTACAGGGCAGCTGTGGCTAGAGTTGTTTATGACCATCATGTGCGGAGTGAATAAATAAT